CACCGCCGGTACTTCCGCCGTACCCTCCTCCTCCTCCTCCTCCTCAAAACACACTTCCGCTCTGCTTCCGAAATTTTCTTCTCCCGGCCACGGCGGAAGTTCGGGACTGAAGATGCGGAATGTCCTACAGGAGGCTTGGAAGGGAGCCCGTCGGCGAGCCTTTGAAAAGTCCTCCTCATCAACCGTGGCGGCGGCGGCGGCTACTGCTGCTGCCGCCTCCCCGTCCAGCACTGGCGGTGTTTCAGGATACACTGCTGAAGCTATAAAGCCCCCCGAGACAAAGCCAACGCCTGTGAAGCATGAAGCGGAGGCCTACGTGTGAGGCTATGCTGCGCAGACAACACGCTTACGGTGATTTCTTGACCCTCCTGTGGGATGAGGCCTGGTTCGCGCTCCTTTCCCACCCCTCCCCATCCAAGGCCCTCTCCTCCAACGTTCTCTGTGCCCCAATGCGTGACGATTCACTTATATTTTCCTATGGTTCCTTGTAATGCCGTTGCTAGTAGTCTTCGAGGGAGAGAGAAAGACCGGCTTAGGTCGCCCAGATTTCTGCCCCACCCCCCGTTTCTCTGTGTGTATGTGTTCTTGTTGAGACAAATGTCTTTCTCTTTTGAAGCATTTATGCTTTCCCCATCAGTGTTCTTTCGAGCCCGTTATTGATTTCTTCCCTTCATTTTCATTTTACTTGTCACTCCCTCCGAACACCGTCTCCTCTAGCGTTCACCTCCAGCATCGGTTTCGTCGTATTCCAAGTCTCGCTGATTGGGTCAGAAACACACGGTTTCAACCCCTCACTTTTTTTCATCCCCGCTGGATGCAATTAACTTGAGTGCGTATACCAGATCTATATAGATATTGATGACATTTCGCTTAAGAGTTTTGTCAATAAAGCTGGAAGTAAGACGGAAGGCACTTCAAGGTGTTATTCATTCTCTGAAACTGGACTGATATTATAAAGAGAAAACAGCAGACTCACGCTATAATTTTCTTGTGCATCAGAAGTACCTGTGAATCCGCAAGCAATAGTTTTACAGCAGTTCACAGGAGGCCGTTGGTTTCCCTGCTATATCCAAAGGTTCCAACTCACAAATAGGCATATAATCGCTTTCAGGACCGCAGAAGTCAGCGTCTAACATGGAATTGTTTGATTGCCGTCGCCTTGTTCACTGTGCCGACCACTATAAAAGTAGCCAATCCACATAAAGTAGGGTGGGCTAACTCATGAAATGTCGACCGAAATTTCGAAATGCGTTTTCTTTTTGAAAAGGTTAATTAAGTATGGTTATAAAACTAATCAGTCCATAATACTGATACTATAATACTTCAGTTACCTCAGGATGCCGGCTTTCGAAAGAACTTCCTCCCGGCTGTATGCATAAACTATACTCTGTAAAAAATGACTACTTAGGTAGCATGCGATTTTCTCATTGATTTTTGATGTCTCTAAAAGTCCAATTATATTTCATGGAAAACATGCATAAAAATATTCAATCTTTCGCTCATTTGGTAGACAATTACGTCGAAGGAAGAGTATAATTCGGTTTTCAAAATCTCCGATTCCCGAATAATTCTGAACCCGTTCTACAATTACATTTGGATTCAGGGTTTCCAAACTACAGGCCATGTATGTTCCGCGTACAGAAAACTGCAGATCTCTCTACGGTAATAAAGGGGAACCATATGGGGTTCATAAAATTTGGCATTGGATTTGATCCATATTATTAACTTTACGAACCACATCGGTAAATGCAGAGACATGACGTTTTATGAACGGACATTTCACGGTATTAAAAAGTCTCACAATCAGAAACTTTTTTAAAACCAAATTATGTCCCTCCTTCGAGTGTAAACGTGAAAGATGTAATCGTCTGCCGAATGAGATAAAGAGTGAATATTTCTATGCATGTTTTCCATAAAATATAATTGGACTTTTAGGGGCATCGAAAATCAATGAAAGATCCATGATCTCCCAGGGGAACTGTCAGACGTCATGAACTATAAAATTCCCCTTTTGAATGCCTCACGACAATTCAACCATTGCGGACAACTATGTCCGCTGTTTGCCTCACAGTACAGGGAGCTCAGGGACAGTGACTTACGCGTTAATTAGTTTATAGTGATAGTAGACTTGCGCTGCATCTACCAAACTCGCTCATCCGCCAACCACCGGCGCCCGGTGTCAAGGCAGAGTGAAGAAGACTGGAGACGGGATCGGACGCAGTAGTTTACAAAACCTAACAGCCCGTCTGCGCGCGCGCGCCACACGCCTGATCCGCGCTCGATGAGGTAGGCAAGAAAGGGGCAGTCCGGCTCCCATCCGAGTGGCATTGCCTACATCAAGAAGGAGCCACTGTAGCCTGACTCTCCTTTTCTCAGAGGATAACCGAGTTATCTCGTCAGTTGGCAGTCTTGCAGCCAAGGATTTTAGGGGGCCAGGATAGTTAAAAAGCGCATCAGATTATTCAAAGTGAGGAATATGCGCTGAGTGCAGTGGGGACGCAATCCTCAGCGTCGACCTCACTCTTGCCCCCCCCCCCCCGGTTTCAGACGCCAGCCTATTGTCCTGTAGCAGGTAGACTTGAACGGTTGTTTTAATAGGCAAGGGCGCTAGTTTTGATAGCAAGAGTGCCTGGTGTCTGGACGCTATCTGTCTGCATTCTCTTGTTTTTCAGTTGAGGTGCGCGAGGAAGAAGACTCCCCCTCCCCGGTGGCAGCATCCAACTCCACCTTCCCTGGACAACTGTGAAACTAACGTTTGTTGGATTATTAGATTCCTCCCTCTGTTTTGTCCTCGTTTTACGTTCCCCTTTTTTACCTTCCTCAATAAACCTTGGAGTACTACGCGGCTTATCGTGTGCTTGAGGATTGTTATTCGATAATGAACACTTGGAAGGACGATCCTAACGGTTCACAAATTGGACAGAGTGCCCCAGTTCCCGCCGTTCCGTCTCAGGCGACCCAGAAGGACACCAGTGATCCCTCGGCCACCGAACCACTATCGAGGTCGGACGCTACAGTCCGGGCCAGTCAGTCATTTAATATGGGAAGGGGACCCAGATGGCTGAAGCGGTTAAGTCTGCCCCTAGGCGTGCCATCTTTCTCCAAGTGTGACATTTATTGCAGTTTTGCGGTCCAGTTAACACGCGCCGAGTCCTCATCTAATCTTTTCTCTTGGTCCAGCGCATCTATTGCGTGACCTGTTTAGGGGGACAGGAATGCTTTGTAACTATGCAGTAGGTGGGCTAACTCGTGAAATGTCAATCGAATATCCGAAATGCGTTTCCGTTTCAAAAAGATTCATTAAGAAGGTTTGTAAAACTAGTCAGCCCGCAACATAATAGTTCAGTTACCTCAGGATGCCGGCTTTCGAATGAACTTCCTTCCGGCTGCATGCAAAAACTACACTGTAAAAGTCGACTACTTATGTAGCATGAATTTTTCTCATTGATTTTCGATGCCCCTAAATGTCCAACTACATTTCATGGAAAAAATGCATAAAAAATATTCATTCTTCTGCTCATTCGATAGAAAATAACGTCTTCTTCTAGGTTTACACTCGAAGGAGGGACATAATTCGGTACTAAAAAATGTTTATAATTGTGGAACTTTTAAATACCGTAAAATAGCCGTTCACAAATCGTCATGGCACCGCATTTACAGATGTGGTTTGTAAAGTTAGCAATATGGATCAAATTCACTGCTTAATTTAATAAACCCCATATGGCCTCCTCTTAATGCCGTAGAAAAGCATGGTTTCCCATACGCGGGTAATATATGGCATGTAGTTTGGAAACCCCGAATGCAGGTGTAACGACAGGTGGGTTCAAAATTATTCGGGAATCGGAAAAGTTTTTGAAAACCGAATTATACCCTTCCTTCGAGTATAAGATTAGAAGGAGACGTTACTTTCTACTGACTGAGCAGAAGAATGAATATTTTTATGCATCTTTTCATAAAATACAACTGGACTTTTAGGAGCATCGAAAATCAATGTTAAAAAATTCATGCAACATAAGTAGTCCTTTTTTACAGAGTGTAATTGTTGCATGCATCCGTAAGGAAGTTCTTTCGAAATCCGACATTCTGAGGTAACTGAAATATTATAGAAGTACACTGCAGGTTGATTAGTTTTACAATCCTACTTAATTTATCTTTACGAAGCGAAAACCCATTTCGGAATTTCGGTTGACATTTCATGAGTTAACCCACCTACTGTATATTCCGCTATACCACTAGGAAGGTGCCATGTAGGGCTCACACAATTTTGTGACTAATGTGGACTATGTTGTAAACTTCATGAGGTGCATTATTAAACATAAGACACGATCCTATTTGAATGGGTATTGCATGATCTTGAAAAATTGTACATCGGGGTATAAAATCTTAAGGCGACGTAATTGGCCAACGCTCAAGTACAAGGTAAATAGTTTGTGCATATTTCTGACAGAATATACTTGAAAACAGAAAGCCAAAATTTCCATCTGGCTGTAGACTTTCAGACAGTATTTTACAAAAAAAGTCATGCTGGCATCTTGCTAATTGCAAGAGTGCTTATGTGACTTCCCTGTTTGTCTTGGAACTCCAGTCCAGAATCCTCTCGGACGATCACATGATGATGCGAGCATTGTCGATCCACCAGACCTCTAATTCCAACGGGACAGCAGTCCCGGGGGTCAGATGTATTGTTAATTCTATTTTGCAACCTCTGAGAGCTTCATAACGTCCCGTTTTGTCAAGACCGGTCAGTTCTCGTGACCTTAGTCGTTTCATTCACCTCTCGCCCAATCAACTGCATGCCAGCTGTTTTGTCATCGATCGTATGCGGGGCGCGCAGTCGATAATTGTACCGCTTGGTTCTCGCGCCCCCCGACCGTACGTGCTCTGCGCGGACCTGAAACTGTACTAGAACATTGGGTTGATCGGCGGCGAGCTTGGAAGGACCCTCTTGTCGTTAAGGTGTTCAGATTGCGGTAAAAAACGGTCCGAGTGGCAGATCCCTCATGGTTGTTCTTCAAGTTGACCGCGTTTTTGACGAACTTGTCCAACCTCTGGGAATCTGGCAAATTGGCATCGTGGTCTTTACAGCGCTGTCATTTCCACCTATATTTCTGCTGCCAGTCTTTTTTAATTCCTTTCCTAATCATCGTTGTCGTGCAGAACCAGAGGTCGAAAAGTGGTTTCAGTATATCGATACGGCGATCGGGAACCTGCAGCCGGAGCTATACAAGTTTGAAAGAAATGCTATGATTGTGGGACCGTTGGCGAATACCACACCTATGATCCGCGGCTGTGAAATATACTCTTTTGAACGTTCGGGAAATGAAGATCGGCAAATGCTGCTATACCTCTACGAAAAGGCCTTCAGCAACAAAAAAGCGGGAACACCTTGTCTTTACGGATACGTGTACCAGTACACGTCGTTCCAATACCAGGGCGGTATCGTCCAGGAGTGGGATCTGGTTTGTGATAAGGCCTGGCAAGTGCCCCTCGACGAGAGTGCATATATGGCTGGCATGCTGATTGGCTACATTTGTGGAGGCTGGCTCAGTGATCGGATCGGACGAAGGAGAACAATGCTGTATTCTGGCTTAGTGGAGATTAGCCTTAATGTGGCTATTTGCTTCTGTCCAAATCACATTGCTTATATCATACTGCGCTTCCTGGTCGCGGCCTTCTTCACAACTCGAACCTCGGCTTTCATTGTGCTTCTGACTGAAATTACCACCGCCAAGTATCGTTCAACCCTGGCAGCGATTGGTACTGTCCTTCAGCTGGGCATACAGCGTGTGATGCTCGGAGTATCAGCCCGTTATTTCACTAACTGGCGGATGTTGAATGCTGTTTGCTTGTTGCCCAACGCTCTGGTATTATTCAGCCCCTTCTGTTTGCCTGAGTCACCAAAATGGCTAGCAGCGCAGGAATCCTATCATTCTGCCAGTGCGGTACTTTACTCTGCCTACCGATGGAACCTTAGATTCCGAAATAACTGCTGTTCGGGTTCCAAGCGGGAGTATGTTCTGAAGAGGGAAGAGTTTCTGGACAGACTAGGCATCAGCACTCCTTCTCATGACGCTGCCTCGCCTTTAACTCCATTTGGAGGAGAACAGGCAGCCAGGGCCGACTTCTCAATCCTACACCTCTTTGGCAGAGGCCTTCGAGGAACCACTATCCTCACCACGGCTCTGCTGACTTGTCAGATTACAAACATGTTTGGTATAACTTTCTACGCTAGTCACATTAGACAGCACGTCTCGATGGTCGTCATTATCAACGCTCTGGCCAACATCCCGGGTGCCCTGCTCTCGGCAGCACTCTACAGATACTTTCGGTATCGCAAGAAACCCCTGGCCGCGGTATTTTTCATCACAGCACTCTTTCTTTGCGCAGCCTCTGCGCACACACTGCAGCTGCAGCCAAAGAGCGACCACCTGCTCAACATCCTTACAAACATCGCCATTTTCTTCCTCTCTGCCTCGCAGAGAATGATCTTTGTCTACGTGCCGGAGCTGTTTCAGCCGCTTTACAGAAACCGCGGTTTCGGCATCGCGGCGGGATTGAGTCGAATCGGAGCACTCTTGGTTCCACTGATAAATCGGCTGGATACCAGGGTTATGCATGGTCTCCCGATGGCTGTGTACGCGGCGCTCACTGTCTGCCAACTGGTAATACTCTTTTTTGTGGAGGATACTAACGGTGAGGGCGTCGTGGTGGTTCTGCAACCCCCGTCTCGAGACGACCCAGCCAAGATCATCGAGGTGGTGCCCACCGGAACGGACATTTCTGAGACAGCTGACCAGAACGCTGGTCAGACAGAGAAGCCTACGTCAGGGTGAATCATCTTTTTGGTACTTTGAGTTTGCGGTTCATTTGCTATCAAAAGCTTTCCTGTTTGATTGAGACTGTGCTTTTTGAAGTCTCTGAATATGTGCAATTCAAGCTTTCCTTGCTCTAGCTGGCTGTGTCCTTTACTTTGCTCACACGAGCCATTATTCATTCTAATAAACCGAAGAGTGCAGGTCTAAAGTCCTTTTGGTTTGTGGTAGAGCTCACTGGATGCTGAAAGTTCTGATGAGGTCGTCATGTGCTATGGTTGACGACGAGGTTACTAAATCAAATGTCGGTAAGATTTGGTTATGTAGCCCCACCTGACAGAAACAGTACTGTTAGGGGATACGGTTAAGAGTTAGAGTCAGGGATTGGAGTTAGGGGTTAGAGCCATAGGTTAGGGTTAGAGTTAGGGGTTAGGACAACTCTTTCTCAACCACTCACCATGCATTCCTTATAGCCTTTCTTTTGCATACAACTACTTGACCTCATCGCCTGTGCGTCTCCCGGCTCCACTTGTAAAAACCCCTATCACCACCGGTCCCGTATTACAGGTGGCTGGGTGTTTGTTTACTTCAGGTGGGGCCTCATGGCCACATCTGTCACAAATTTCAGAAGAACAAAATATAACGGCAAAGTCTTACTGCGCCAGCCTTCGCGATCCAGATCGGAGGCGTGCGAAGCGTGCCTACATGAGCAGATAACCCTGCACCGAGCTGCGCCACAGAAGCACTGAATCAAATCAGGGGCCAGATTGGGGTACCCATGCAGTAATTAGCCTACGCATCTCGTAATAAATGTCACTCATGTAGGGGTGTAATGGCACGCCTAGGCGCAGGCTTCACGCCAGTCACTTGTGTTTGAACCCACTATCAGATAACTGATCGAGTCGGACGGCGGACTGGTGCATGCGAAATGGAAGAGGAGGAGATGCTGAAACTGTGGAATCCAACCTCCGCGTACTAAAAATCAAACGCGTTTTTGTCTATAACGACGCACTAGAGGTCGTGGCTTGAAAGGCTGCCTACCGACAGGCTAACTCGTTTCTCTCAGGACCTCTCAGAATGTGACCTCTCGCTCAGATGGTGTCCGGACTGCCCCCTCTGTTCTGAGAAAACCCGGTATATGCAGGTGGAACCAGATCCTGTGTGTCACGCGTAGACGGGTGCTAGGATTTGTCAGTCACCGGGCCTGACCCAGTTACTGGATCCAGATGAGTGAGGAAGAGGAGGGTGTGTCAGGCTCTGCGTGAGTCACCGTCCTGCGCCCGACGTGCTGCGGAGCACACCATGGATCTCGTCGTTTACAACGGTCGAACTGTCGTTTGCCTCATGGGCAGTCGGTAGTGATGGTCACCTGAGCCAAATAACATAAGAGCAACTGCGGTGTAAAGTTCGCGGTTACGTACGCACGAGATGCGCCACTAGTTGGATTGGACATGTAGTGAGAGGAACTAGTAACTTGGATTCATAGTTAGAAGAAGGTGCGTCTCCGCAAGGTATGGAGACACAAGTTGAGTGGGAATTTAAAGGACATTGTGTCTCAGTGATACACTAAGCAACGATCCTGTCCATCGCCTACTAACTTGTAAGAAGACCCACTCAAAGTAGACACCGATCTAATTATTTTGTACCCACGAAGGCTGTGGTGCTGTCCATGCGGTTCCTTTGTACTGGGACCGTACCGCTACCTAGTCTACCCAATATGACGCAATTTACCCCTGCCTAGATGAGAAACGGTGACTTTCACTTGAATCGATTTATGAATGTCCCATCTCCTAAGTGACGACCGTGCACTGCTGCCCTAGCAGCGGTGACTTGCGCGTGAATTTGTTTGAAGTGAGGCAGACTTTCGCAGCGCCTATCGCGTTTTCCCTCTCCTCCTCCTCACCCATCTTGCTTTGGTGCCAGAACGAAATCAAGGCGACGAGGGCGGGCACAGTAACTGACAAAGCTAAACCATCCCCATACTCGTGCCATACCAGACCTGGTCCTTATTTCATATCTCACAGCTCTCATGGATGAGACTACCAAGAAGACCACTCTAAGAAGGGACCATTACAGCCTGATCCTTCGCCCCAAGACGGATCATAAACGCCATCGTCAACGTCAACCTCATTCGCCGTGTTAAATTGTCAAGGTCATGTCAAGACAGCTAAAGTTTCACCAAAGCAGTTCTGGTGTTGACGGCGTGGACGACCGTGGATGTTCAGCGCAGAGAAATAGATGGTATTTCGCAGTTGAAGCCATTGATTCTCCACAGAGGCGTTAAAGTCCAGAGCCTTTAGTTCTTTCGGGCGCTAGGCAGACTGATTTCTGACATGTAAGCAGTTAGCAGACTAATTCAACAGAGAAGCACTTAAAGTACCTGGTGGTCGCCTGCCTCGTGGTATCCTGTAAGGTTACAGTCGAAGCCTCATTTTGGAGATCAGGAGGCGGCGATCCGTCCAGCCGTCGGCTTCACAGATCGTCTTTACCACCAACATGTCCTGTCGGCCGCGCCTCCGGACGAAAACGTAGTCCAGCAGCTGCCGGCACTGCTTTTATCTAGGCTGCCTTCTTCCGCGTTGGAAGAGGGAAGAAGGTGTTGGAGAGAAGGAGGCCGGGGTTCTGCGTAGGTTTTCAGGAAAATGAGACCGCTGTCGCTGAGAGCAACGATGTCCAACTTGTGGTTCGCCAGTTTTTGTACAATTAACACCGTCCCCCCTTGTGGATGGTTGCTGCTCGGATTGTCTAAAAGAGAACGGATAGATATTCCAGGCTGCCAGAGCGAACGGATTTACCCTAGCAGCCTGTGGTATGAGTCGGGGAAGATGGGGACCAGGGTAGTTGTTTTTGGTTGTTGTGTTTTGGCCGCGAATTTTGTATCTACGAATCACGGCCTGTGTGCAGATGATATGAGTTACCAACATTCGATTAGGGCACCTTTCCTAACCTCTTCTCCGTGATGGGGTAAGAAGGCTTATGGGTAAGATGTGGTTATGTAGCCCCACCTGACGGACACAGTACTGTGGGGCTGGGGTCAGCGGTTAGGGGTTATGGTTATCGGTTATGGTTGGGGGTTAGGGTAGAGGGTAAGGGCAACTAATTCTCAACCACTAAAAGTACAACCACGCATTCCTTATAGCTTTTCTTTTGCATTAAATTGCTTGACCTCGTCACCTCTGCGTTCCCCGGCCCCGCTTGTAAAAACCCCCTATCAACACCGATCCCGTATTGCAGACGGATGGGGGTTTTTTACCTCAGGTGGGACTACATAACCACATCTGACCGACTTATGCCTAAATTGGACTAGGCAGACACCCCAGGCGGCTGCCAAACTCCACTATGGGCCATGCGTTTGTTTCGTGGGGAGCCACCCGAGTTAACCTGGTGCGTCTACGGGATTGTATCTCCCCGTCTCCACACGACGAATTGAAAGTAGGAATAGGAGAATGGAGAAGAGAGCAGGATTACTGGATGTTGGGATACACACACACAACGCCGGATACTCTTCTCTGATTTGGTCCACAGGTCGGGATGTTTGGGGAATGTAGCCGCTAGGTTGAACCTATCTTCGGAAAGACACAACTGCACGTTGGGTGCCGGCCAAAGGTCGTGTGGAACATTCATCACTTGCCGTATCTACACGTTTTCCCACCTAACTAGGCACGCGTTGCACATGCACCAACCCCTCAATATCCACAGGGATCATGCCCAACTCACTCAAGTGTCAGCCAAATCGGTTAGAGATGCGATAATACCACACAACGATAGATGCACTGCAGCCCTAACCTTAACCTAGAGATACAATTATGCTGACACCTAACAGCCCTGCAGACCACAACCCGCGTGTCTGAGGGGTAGCTAAAGCCATGGTCAGATTAATTAATCTGTCGGAACACCTCACGGAATCGGCCTCACTCTTCCTATCCCCTTAAGCAACTTCGGCATGTCTGAGTCGAACTGGTGAGAGGAAATCAACAGTAATGGCTACCATCGCATTACTCCCAAGTCTTCTGCTTGCAACACAGGTGTTTAAACCTTTTTAGCTCGCACCCTTTGCTCTGCAATCGCGTTGGGATCACTAACTTTAGCGGCTTGTATAGAGGGTTACCCCTTAACCACCACAATAGTCAGGGCCTATTTCTGTTGCAGGAGGAGTAGGGTAAAGAAACCAGTAGGAGACTTGTATTCCGTACAGAAGATGGATGGTGATCAGGATGCTCGATGCGCGTCCGGTTCTGGGCCTGCGTGCACGCATCCCCGAGTGGGTTCTGTGGGCAGAATATCTAAGTGTCATGCGTGAGAGCTAGTCAACGTCACTTTGGTGAGTTTGCAGCGGCTAAGGGGTGTGCGTGTGTACTTAATGAGCTACACTTATCAGGTCAAATCCCCAGTTGGAGGAAAAGAAGGAGTCACCAGATTGAGGAGTTTCGGAGAAGGTGCCACGATCGCTGGAACAAGTGCTTTATTAGCGCGACGTTTCGGATTATCGTTAGAATCCATCTTCAGAGACAGAGTCAGGCAAGGATAGTAAATTGCCCAGGTGTTGCAGTATCTATAGGATGCAGTTGCTAGGTCGCTCCATGTCTATCAGGTCAGGGTAATAAAGCTCTCGGTCCAGCGATCGTGTCTCCTTTTTTGAGACTGCGTTCCGGAACTCGCCTCTTCGTTTCAATTAACAAATAAGGGGTTTATTGCATACAGAACCCTCGATTCTCCTCGTAGGCGGCACTGGCCGCTGGCGAAGACAGGACTGGTGTTGACTGTGTCCAGTCATGCCTGAGAATCTGTGAGACAGTGGTGGCCGCTGTCTTCGTAGGTTTGTCAGGCAATCTGAAGTGGTGTCCAATCGGAGTGTGTTGCATTTGCCGAAGTGGTGGTCCATTCAAGTGACCGCGTGGGCAGCTGCAACTGTGTGTTCGCAGAAGCGTCCGAGCTGAAGTCGGGCGAATGGCTTCAGGTCAGCGCGTCCGGGACGGTTCGCTGCATGGGGTGAATGACCTTGAAACAGAAAGGCCTCGGAC